TACAATATACCTTAAAAAGTAAAGTTGTTAGATTTTACTTTATTTTACTGCAGTGAGAGAGAGATTTGTGTTTCAAACACATACACTTACTGTGTCCTAATGGATATCAAGGATGAAAAAAAAAAAATGATGAGGCCTGAAAGACTTTCCTGGATGGAAGCAAGAAAAGGGTCCCTGCAGAATACAGAGAAATGCACCATACAGGTTACAGCCCGCAGCACGCAGGAATTCAGGCCCTGAGGAAATGAGTGTGGGCCACGATTTACTGCAGTCAATGGATGGAAATAAAAACCTTCTATGCTACGTAAAGCAGGCAAAGTCAGGCTAGCTGCTCTAACAGAGGCTGGGATAGCATTGTTCTGCTGCAATTCTAAAAATGTTGAACTAAAACCTGCTCCTACAATTTTGCTCATTGCAGCCACAGACCCACATGACAGGAGCGAGTCTGGGTCAATGTAAAGCCCAGCCCCTGTTCTCACCCCAATATTTCACTAGGGTAGCAGCCTTGAAAATCTCATTCTTAACTAAGGATACTGGAGGCTGGTTGGAAGCAACACAAATGATGCTAGAAATCAGAGCAAGCTTCAGGGGAGAAAGCAAAAAGGGGGGCAGGACACAAATGTACCTAGAGACCGTGCTGGTAGTGTAGTTGAGTGGCAGAGTACTTGCCTAGCACAAGGAAATCTATGGGTTCCATTCCCAATACTGCAAAAAAAAAATATCAGTAATTAAAATATGAATTCAAAGTCTGACAATGTATGTTAAGAAAACTCAGAGAAGCTGGGCATCGTGGAACACACCTGAGTCTGAGGCAGGGGGATTACTGTTTGAGTTTGAGACCAGCCTGGGCTACATAGTGAGTTCCAGGTCAGTCTCAACTACATAGTGAGACCCTGTCCCAAAAAACCAAAAAAAAAAAAAAAGAAAGAAAGAAAGAAAGAAAGAAAGAAAGCAAGCTCAGAGAGATAGATGAATTAATAGCTTTCCGTAAAAGGGGGAGAAGCCAGATAATTAAAAACAGAAAGCAATACGTCAAAAATAGATATTAAACAGACACCATCCAACATCAAATCAAAACAACAAACATTGTGACTGAAATCACAAAGCAGGTGTACATTCTACATGAGGTGAATATGGAATTTTCTAACTCAAATCTTATAAAGTGCTGTCAGCACCAGAGATTGGAAAGCGTGAGAAGGAAAGAAAACACATACGGGATAGGAGTTAAAATTTTCCAGAATTGGAGAAATAGGATTGTGTGGATCACAATACATTCCAAATTCCAGACTGAGTTTGCAGAACATTAAGTATAACGAGAAACCAATTTTTAAGTTTCCATAGAGATTACATATCAAGGGAAGAATAGGAAACTGGCAGCAAACTACCCCTACCCACAATCAAAATGCATGGCAGATTCGATCCCCGGTACAAAAAAAAAAAGAGAAATAGTATTCATGCCAGAATCCAATGGGGTACAATTTTCTGCATTTGGGGAAAAATAATGTCTAGTAGGAATCAAAACTGTAGGTCAGGAGTGAAAGTGAAGGGAGGCGTTTACATGAAGTAAATGAACACATTCTCACCTACAAAACAAGAGATAGAATGGAAAGTAGATTCAGACCACATTGGATATGCTCAAACAAAAAGCACAATCACAGAATTTGTTATAAAAATGGTACAATTTAATGACTAGCTGCAATAACTATTTGAAAGTACGATGAAGCAATTTGGCAGAAAAGACTAGTATTGTTCATAAATAGCCAAGAAAATACCCCAAAGCCCATGAGCTGTTTGGAAGGACGGAAGAAACACACACAAAAATAATTTCTCAAACTGTGCAATTATGTATGGATATAAAAATATGCATGATCGCTGACAGAATAGAAATATGTGCTTCAGTTTTTAAACAGGTAGAGGAATTCACCAAGAATAGAAACTTCAATATTGCAACATAATTTTAAAAATGTATATTAAAAAACTAAAAGCTACAAGGAGAAAAATGAATCCAAACCCATCAACAGTTTCATCAAATGGACATGTGTTAAACTGGCCTATTAAAATAGATTCTTCGGAATGGGTATCATACTCTAGTTTTATGCTCCTTAACAATCATCCCATCTTTATTCTTTTCCTGTCTCTTGGTGAAGAGGAAATCAGAAGTAATGATAGCATCAATTTCAGGCTGAAATATGAATGGAAGCAGATAAATGATACTAGATAAGTGCTACCAATTGTACATGTCTCTTGGACCCTCAATCAGCCTTTTTGGAGCCTCTTCAGTTTGCCCAGGGAAATTCTCTCTCTGTGGATCACAATTTAGTCTCCTTTTGGTGCACTCAACTCCAATTTTCATAGAAAAGAGGAAACTGCTATCCAAAGGACTGCAAGTCTTCATGCATACAAACACACCTTGAGACAGCCAAGACTAACAGCAGGGTTTACTCAGCAGAAGCCTCCAGCCCTGCTTGCCGGCTGCTGCAGGATACCCAGGGCAGCAGTGGCACAAGGTGTGACGAGACCTTCTCACTCCAGCACTGGACCCTGCTACTCCTACTACAAGGTCTGCAGGCCTATGCTCCTGGTTTAAATTTGAGAACCAATATTTACCTCAATTAGCCCTAGCCAGAAAGAACATGGTTCTGAAAACAGAGATCCAGATGATCAAGGTCAGGGCTGCTACACTTTCTCACTAATGGAAAATTATTCCTAGTACTACACGATACACAGGAAGGGTAAGCACAGGGATTATCAGTATGAGGCAAGTCTAAGCAGAGGGGAGAACTGAACATCTACATATCCCTAGCAGGCGACTCAGCAGGTGAATACTAGCTTTATCGAGGTCTAAATTCTATTACAAATAAGCCAGTCCAGTCAAAATCTCAACAGTTTCTTAAAGTCCTCTTCATCCCATGAGCTCCAGGGTCCTGTGTCTTAATCCACTTTTGAGTTTGTTGTTTATTGCTTTTCTGGGTTTTTTGTCACTCAGGACTGAACCAAGGGCCATCACGCTGAGCTACATTTCCAGCCCTTTTCAATTTTTTTTCCCCCTCCAGGTCTCTAAGTCATTCAGTTGCCTGAGATATGTTTCAACTTGAGCTCCTCCTGCCTCAGACTTCTACGGGGCTGGGACTACAGGCACAAACTTCCACAAGTGGTTTTAAGCCCAGTTTAAAACAAGAAGAGAAAGAACTCGATTCTGAAAAAGCTATAAAGATGAAATCTTCCTGTTTCCTCACCATTCTATAAACACACGCGTACACACACACACACACACACACACACACACACACGCACACACTCATGCACAGTCTCCAGACTGCAATACAGTTATCAGATTATATATATTTTTCTTTTTCCTGAATTTTTGGCAATCAGTTCTATTCCGATGATATGAACTCTACATCTCACGACCTTTTCAATATAATGTATGTAATATAGTTTACCTTTACCTGCTTCTTGGATGACTAATTAAATTTTTAAACACTATCTCAATCATCTCAAAATTTTCGCTGTCATTGCTTTCAAATGTTTTTGTGAAGTCAAACCAGAATTACTCAAAACAAACTATTATCCCCCTCTTTCGCATTTTGATTAAGAATGCATTCATAATAAGTGATCATGAAGAACTAATATAACAATGACATCCTACAAATGAGTGAACACTGCATACTTTGAAAATATATTTAAGTTTAAGTATTTTTTGAGCAGCGGCTTGAAAACGTATATGTGCACATTAGTATATAAATACATGTTAGATCTGAACATGTTAAGGAGTAAAATAATAACTTTACTTCTTAAAATATATGTTTTGTTTTAAAGGACATATAGTAATTCTACGCAATTATGGGTACAGTGTGACATTTTAAAATGTGTACAGTGTATAACAACAAGGTCAAGGCTGAAACGCAGCCACCATCTCATTCATTTTAGTATTTCTACTCCGAGAACATACAAACTACACTGAGTTTAAATCTAATATGAATGACAGATGTATTGTTCATAAGCAAATATAATACAGCAGAAATTCATTTACTTGAAATATTGAGGGAGCCTAGTAAAACTATCCACTAAGTAATTTACAATCAATTAAACATATGTGAACTTTCTATGTAATCTCATATAATAGATTGAGATCATAGCAACTTAGGGCAGAAATCTGTGTCTGTGATTTTGAAGAATGTTTTTCATTAACTGCAAATGGGCACATTCCTACATGAGAAAGCAGAATTGCCTATATACATACAACATTTGATACAGCCACATTCTCTCAGTGTATAAATTATTATTTTTGAGAGTGACATAATCATCAGAACAATGTTAAGTACTTTAAGATCTATCAGTGCTCACAATGTAGCTGTGCAATTTTGCCAGTTTTAGATTTGAAAGATATGTTAAGCAGGTTGATGGCCAATGCCAGAAATCAAGCCAAATAGAGAAAGTGATTTATCTACTACGTGTAGATAGTAACTGAAATGTAAATGCTACACACATATCCCTGCCCCCAATCCAGAGCTGCCTTTGAATTAAACAGTTTTTCCAATAATATGACACACTAGATGCCACAGATTGATGAAATACAAATAAAATCTCAATGTATTCTGAAAAGTCTTTCCACAATAAGATGAAGAAGATTCTCAGAAAACTCGAAGAATTTCCCCTCTTGAGCCATCTTCTGTGCTTGAAGGTTGGGTAAGACAGGAAAGGAAAAATGTGTTGCTCTTTGAATTAAACAGAAAGGTACAATTCAAAGATGGGGTGTACTCTAGAAGAAGAATCTAAATGTAGAGAGAATCATGTCCATCACATGGAGAGTAACTGGCTCTTTCTCATTCAGTAGGACATGGTCTTCAAAACGCTAAATTATAAATTCTGCATTAAAATCTTTAAAAACTGCATTAAAATGATTTACATTTTCAAATTGTTTTCCTAAAATAAGGTCTGTTTCATTACCTCGGGGCGAGTTTGCTCACACATGTATGTGCACAGTATGAGGTACTCACAGAGCTGTAGAGATAGCCTTCACCATTCATGGCCACGTAGAGGCTGGCTTTCACCCCTTGAATGGCCACCACACGCAGCCCCACAGGAATTAGATTGAAGAGAGCTAGAAGGACAAAGAAGAGAGGGAAGCATTAGTGAACTGGTGAATAAATTAGGTTGCTGCTTACAATGACTTTTTTTGAGAAATAAAATCTATTCATCAAAATTGATAGGGAGAGAGAGAGAGAAGGAAACAGAAATGGGCTAAGAAGGGGGGGCTACTTGGCTTGTTCTCTTGTCTCTGCAACACCATTAATCATCCATGTAAATTCAAGTAAATTATGTGACTCGTTTAGAATGAAGTGTTGGGTGCAAATGTCTCAAAAATTCCCTTTGAGACTTGAGAGTCTAAGATTCCTCTCCTCAAAATGAACACACACTCAAATCGTATAAGATGATTATTTTTTTCAAACAAACAAATAATCGGAATCAAAAAGTTCGCAATAGTGTGAAACAAATTTGTATTCAGAATTAACAATAAAGTAAGACATTTAAAAATATCCGCCAGGGCGTCTCAATGTCAGTGTTTTCCCTGTGGTCCTGAGCATTATCTTCAACACAAAAGACTAATGTGAAAACCAAGCACTCATTAGTAGAAACCATGGGGAGAGATCTTTTCTCGTCCACTTCTGAGTGTAAATAAAGATACACACATGGATGAATTTATGTAAATAAAGATACATAAATGGATGATTGATAGATAACATATCCAGGGGAATATATACACATCTATAAAAACATTAAAAATCTACTTGACAAATTTAATTCAGCATCCTAATGCAAAATGAGAATATTCTCGCAATCTTTAAATATTCAACTTATCTATAGGCACACTCAAAGAAATAACTCACATGCTAAAAATAAATTTTGAAGTATCATCCGTGTCTGTAGTAACAATGTACTACTACGAATTGTTTTGTTGCTACTCTTCTAGTTGCATTTAAGATTACAAAGTGAGCATAAACAAAAGCCATTATCCCTACCCTGAAGAAATTTACATTACTTATGACAAGAAAGCAATGATATGGTTAAGCTCTGTTAAGCTCTGTAGGTGACAGTACAAATATGAATGAAATTTCTCCTGACTGTATGCATAAGAGAATGTCTCTGCAATTCACTTTAATATCCTAACTTGGTTAGATGATTTTTATCTTTGACTTCTACAGATAAATTTTTTATCAGTTCTGGTCCTTTTGATTTTGAACAAAAGATACACATAAATTAACCCAACAGCTACTATTAAACAGAAACGCCTCTATTTTTCTGGATTATCTAAACTTGGTATAGTGAGCTATACACATACACACAGGTACAAAATACACAGAAACACACAGTGCTTGGAGTTCAGTCAAATGTTCAATGGAAAGCCAAGATGACGAAGCCTTAGATCAGATGTTTAGTGAAGGCAGACTCCATCCCTACCTGCTGGCTCGGTTTCTTCACATCTTGAATGTATTTCCTCATTTGTTGTGAAAGTTCAGACTAAATCTCAGGGGTTGCTTAAGGATTAATTGTTGACGTAATTTAGATCTGCAGTAGTTTTTGTTCTTTCTAGAATTTTAACATTGTCTTTGTGCTACTAAAACTGCCTAAGAAATTTAAGACCCTGAAGTTGAGAACAAATGCTAACAACACTGGGGAGAATAAGCTAAGGCATACAGAATAACCTGATACAGTGTAAGCAATGTAGGATTTAGTTGTTTAATGAAATGTAATATATATATTCTTTATGATGCAAAAGTTCAGGAAAATGGAGACCTGCGCAGATTGCAGTATTCAGAAACTGCTTTGCAAAGGATGTAAAATCTCAGTTGACATGAGAAGGGGCAGAGGTTGAGTGACAAAGAACAAAGATATTTTGTGGGGCAGGAAGTCAGGCAGTTTTGCAAAGTAAGGAGTAGGCAAGAAAGTAGAATATTTAACACGTATTGGGGATAAATTGAAAAAAGGTGAAGATAAATAACAGACTATTCTAATCGAAAGATTGAGATTTTATCAAATGGGCAACAAGATTTGTTACTCATAAAGACTGGGGAAGCAACAGCTTATATGAATGTGAGAGAATAAACCAACTACTGAGTTACTCGGTGCTAATTCATTCATTTCCCCTGCTTGGCTTGGTTTCTGTTATCTGTGAAATGAGCAGAGTAACTCTGACTCCATGGAATTTTCAGGAGAGTCAAACGCATCCTATTCTTGAAAGTGTTTTATTAACAGAAACGCATCCTCGTGTTCTATCTGAGTTATTTATAGATAATACCTGCTTTTTCTGATTGGCAAATAATGGTACCACAAGATTGGTGCAACAACTGACAGCCCTCAGTAATGCTTTTTGAGTTTAGACTCACAAACTTGCTGAACATTTTAAAGAGATAAACTCAAAGTTGTATATCATTTAATTTTCAAGGTACAGATAAATCCACCAATGCATTTCATCTTCAGCCATAAAAGCTATAAGAGAATGCTGGTTAAGTTTAGAAGGACAGACAGATTCAGGGAGGTGATTCCAGTACAACTACATCTGAGAAAAGGTTTTCTGACTTTCTGGAGTTTTATCTGTCTAAGATAACATATTTCCTCTTTTTTTTTTCTTTTAAGTTCAATGTCCTTGAATGTTCATTCTTGTTTTCTGCTAAATAAATAGATGGTATAGCTGGATTTTCCCGCATGTCCAGTAGCTAGAGATAGCTTTCATGGGCCAGTCACTTATAGGCAGATGTTTCTTAGTAAGATTGAAGTCATTTCCCTTGAAAACAGCTTGTAGGTCTCCTTTCCTTCCCTTTTAAACCCTTTCCCTGCTGCTGTATAGATGACAATGTACTTGGATGACCTTAGACCATTATAAACAAGGGCTCTCCCTGAGTATGCAATGGTGGGTAAGCTGAAAGGAGCTGAGTCCCTGGGAGTTCTGTGGAGCAGTGGCAGAATTCCAGTATTCATTTACCTAACTCTGGCTTTTATGAAAGTGAAAACATTATTTTAGTCTGCATAATGCAGAGCCATCCTAATCCTCAATGATAGAGACTGCCAGGGAAAGCAGAATCAACCTGCAAGGCAGTAATTAACTGCGAGGTGCTTGTGCATTGTAAATAAAAGCAGCTAGTAGGAACTATCAAGTGCAATGAGAGTTCTTTTGAAAAAGAAGAAGGAAATCCAAAAATGTGGACAGCGTCTTTCTAAAGGAAAGACTTCCCAGAACAAATGCTAAAGATATTGGCTCACATAGTTGAAACAAAGAAGCAAACAACTGGAACAATTCCCCTATGTGAAGAGTTTAAGGAAGCTGAGCAGGGACAAGCACAAGAAATTTGTGTGAAAGTCTTACATAAACCACAAGGTGACAGGTGTTTTCAGATGGTATGCGATGGGAGACTAAATCCACTAAAAAAAAATTAGTGAAAGATTTGAAATAAGACTTTTTTGTGGCAAAGGCTAAAGACATTTCTCCTTGGCAGAGCCTTCTTCTGTCTCCTAAAATCCCCCAAAGTGGCCAATGACTTACTCTTCTCTCTTCAGGGTAGCACATGCTGGCTCTGGCTCACAGAAGCCTTTGCTATTCAGTGAGAATTTCTCCTCATTCTGGTCTTCCTCTTCAGCCTAAAGGCCAATTTCTAAATGTGCAGTAAGGGACCCTTCACTCCACGCCACTCTTCAAGATCCTTTCAGCTCCACATGTCGTGGACCTGCTAAAATCTCAAGTGAATCCTTCTTGGACATAACGCCTTTTACCACCTGGCACCAGCCTGCAGTTGCAATTTAAAACCTGCCATCCTTTCTATCCAATAGAAACTGGCATCAGAGATATTTCACCATTTCCTAAGTTCCTTCCCCATCACGTTTCACCAGGCTGGATTCTGTCTTCTATCTTTTTCAATAAAGACGATCTCCCCACTTGTAAATTTGTCCAAGTCTTTTCACCCTTTAAAGCTCATTTATTTGGCTTCCATGTGAGTCTTGTTCAAAACCCTCAGAGATAATGCTATCCTTTCCAGAACGGTCTATGTCTTGTACATATAACCCTGTAGTGGCACCGGGAACATACACCGTATCTCTTTAGTGGTGTTAGAGTTACTCTTCTGCCCAGTGCTCTCCATCTATTCAATGCAAGATCCTTAGTTGTAGTCTCTGCGGTGTCTAGCTTTGTTACAAGTAACATGGCTTATATTCAATAAATGCTACCTGGTTATGAAGGTCATGAAAGGTCATTTCTTCCTGGAATTTTGGTTCCCTTACTCATATACAAGTGTTTTTTTAAGTAAAAATAAGTTTAAACTTAAAGCTTCTCAGCCTAACATTCAAAGTTATACACAGTCACAACACAGACTTTTTTGCTACACGGCATCATTCACTCTGGTGTATTTATTTACTGCTTCTCATAGTTTGATCCTTCTCTCTTTTAAACTCCATATTTTGCATATTTTTATTCAGCTACTTGGAATGCCATTCTTCTCATATTTTCACACTGAAAATCCTGCCATGCTTGAAATGACACACCAAATACCAAATGCTCTTGCTTATCAGCTGTCCTAGTCATGGATCCAGACTATATTTACCACAAGTTGTAATCTTTCTTTTTTAAAAAAAATCTGTTTCCTCTCCCAGGCACAGCTAGACTGTAAGCTCTTCAAAACAAGGACACATGTAAACTATACTACGGCAGTAAGTATGGAAGGTGGGGAGAGGAGAGAGTGAGGATCTATTTTACTTATATTTGGGAGTCCTGTCAACATCTTCTAAATAAAATAACATTTTTTAATAATTAAGCATATTGGTACACTGTTGAGATACATAAGGATCACATTTGTCAAAGGGAATTTGTACCTGTACATGGTATATCTCGATTCTTCTTTTTCTCCCGTTCCCCTCCCTGCTTCCTCCCATCCTTATTTACAAAAGCTTTGTTCCCTTTTTTTCTTTATTTTCTCATTTTTAAAATTTTCCTTTCCTTCCTTTTCCTGTTCACCTTCTACAGCTCCCCTTCCCATTTAAATATTCTGTGTCACAGTATCTATTATACATTTTAGTCCTTATTTACACTATGGTTTCTCGCATCATAAAAAACAG